GGATTGAAAAATGTTAGTTTTTAAAAATCTTCAAAACCAACAAAATATAAAGGTAATTTACTCATTTAGTCCCATCCAATTTTTTTAATTATTTAACCCCTAAATTTTCTTCGAGTTTTGTATCTTATTGCAAGTTGTTTTACTTTAAAATAAAGTGAGTGCAGCTGTTAAAAAAAAAATTTAGTGCTTGAGATATCATTAAAATTTTATCTGACTTCAAGATGTATTCTACATGCTTAAGGAAGAAAAAAGGGGAAAAGCTCAACATTTGTTAGTTCTGGAAACATCATTAACATCCAACGTGGTGGAAGACCAAGAAACACAAAGCATTATTTCAACAAACTTTCAACTTTTCCTTATTTCAACAAACTTTCAACTTTTCCTTATTTCAACAAACTTTCAACTTTTCCTTATTTCAACAAATTTTCAACCTTTCCTTATTTCAACAAATTTTCAACTTTTCCTTAATCTCGCTTTTTCTTTATTAGATAAAGCATGATCGCCCTGCTCCAAGAGAGAGTCTCCCTGCTTCAGTTACTCAGAAGATAATTAGAAAGTGTTTCAACAAGAACTACAATTGTCTAATTAACTATATGCACTTCAAATTTGTAAATAAATTTTTTTAAAATTATATTATTGAGAAATTAATACTTTTAAGTTTTAAGATGAGACCAATAATCTTAGAATCCATGGAGTAGAAGTAGACCTGTCAAATGAGGGGCTCGGGTCGGGTTCGGGTTAGATTAACTCGAATGAAAGGTTATATGGTGCATCATAAACGGGTTATGGGTTGAAAATGTCCAACCCTAACCCAACACTAGCATATTACGAGTTAACTGCAAGTTAACTTTATTTTTATTTTTTATAATTATTTTTATTAATTTTATTATATACAAATAAAATTATATATATATCTAAATTTAATTAAAGTATTGTGATTCATTAACACTAAATATTTTATAATCTCAATGATAAACATTTAAATTAAGAAAAAAATCATAAAGTTATAAATAACAATAAGTTGATTAATAATATCAAACTTAAAATATTTAAATTTTTTGAAAAATAAAATTTTAATTTTATAATAATTTTAAAGCATTATCAAGTAGTTTAAACCATTTTTTAATGATGAAATTGCTCTTCCAAAAACATATTTCACTAAATTATTAT